CCTCCGCAGAAAGATTTGATTTCTTCTTCCTTACTGAAAATAATAAGTAAAAGAACTAAAAGAACCATCATAAGTTTAATAATTTGTAATGGTTCTTTTAGTTCTTTTAGAAACATTTCTTTGTCTAGGTTAAATAAATCCGATGTGAAAATGCATCGATGTCTTTCTTCTCTTTAGAGCATTAATGCAAAGTGAACGAAACAAACTATATCCAAATTTGAACTCGGCATGCCTATTCCTCTTTTCGGGCCGAATGCCGTTACACATCCTTCCATATACAGGTATCTTATTCCTACTAAAGTGTTAAATCAATTTAACGAAATACAAAAAACTAAGTGTGGGGAAACTTTAAAGTTATTATTTTCATCGTACACAGAAGTGTATTCAGAGTGAAATTCCAGACTCTTCTTACATTATTAATAAAATTGAGAATTGAGAATTACTGTTAAAGTATTATTCTGAACTTTTTTTCCGAAATTTCAGTCGTTTGGTTTTAATAAAAAGAAAACTACATCACTGGTTGTTAACAAATATGTTTGCTATGTAAAAAATGTATTTGTAAAACTGCATATACATTTGTAAATTTATATAGATAAATAGATATCTCGTTCTCCCACACGCGTGGGAGAACGAGATATTCGAATTCTAAGTGCTATGTATTTGACAGGCGAGAAGGAGAAAGGCTTACCAGAGTCTAGGTGGGACGTTTGACCTGTGAGAAAGATACTTTAAGACACTTAAGATACTTTTTTAGTAGAATAGATAGCAAATACTCGTGTGTGTTGCTACCTACATCTTTATTTCCCCGTTCTCTCCTCCGGTAGTGTTGCTCCATAGAGCTGTTTACTCCAAGGGAGTTAATTATATAAACATTGCTTATGGAGTTAAATCGAGCTAACTATTCAAGCAGAGATTGCTTATTATATGTATACATATACAACATCCTCCCTCTCGACTCCTGTTTTCCAGCTTTGTTTTGGTTTGAACTTAAGATGTGTATTCCAACGAGGTGGATAAACTGTTCTTCCAACTCTAGTTCGGACTGTTTGCTCAGTTATGACTTGTTGGTGTTCTGGGATCTCTGGGGGTGATCTGTTTGCCAGTTCCGGAAAGGGAAAAATTCTGAGCTCCTGTGAAAGCGAAATGCCTAACAAATGTCATCTGTTACGACGGAGTTTTCGGCCATTCTCTATTAGGATAAGATATGTCCTAGGTTGATCACATCGCTTGATAACCTTAGCCCGGTTTTATCATCATGGAAGTGGACGTGGTCACTGATGTTCAGAGAGAAGAGTTCATGATGCTTTGAATTTGTTTGGTTTCGGACCTTGTCTCGGTAGGTAGATTCCGTGACCCTAGGTAGCAATGTTTCATCAATTTTGATGCTGGTGAAGGAGCGTTTTCTCTGTCTGGCTCCGTGCGTAGACTTAGCAATGCTAGGTATTTATCATCCCCCGTTTTTATGCACTTTAATATAGTCCTTTTTATGGTTTATATTATTCTTTCTACCATATTCTGTAAATTCTGGGCTACTGGTATCATGTTCAAAATCCCAGTTTGCTGAGAATTTTCTGAATTCTAACGAAGTGAATTCTGGACCATTGTCAGAAAAGACTAGTTTGGGAATTTCATGTCATGCAAATATTTTTTTCATATGTTATATCACTGTTAGTGAGGGGCTATCGAGGAGTTTGCTGATCTCAAAATATTTGGAGTAATAATCCACAACAATCAGGTAAGATTCTTCCCTGGACCTTGAACAGGTCCGCACCAACTTTTTTCCAAAGTTTGGCGAGGATCTCATGGTTCGTGACGGTTTTGTATTGTTGGCATGCATCGCAGTTTGATATTGTATTTGTTATGTCTGCATTCATGTTTGGCCAGTAGAGTATCTGGTGTGTTTCTTTTCAATTCCCATGTGGTCTTGGTGCAGAATTTTGCGCATTTCTAGCCGGAATGTTGAGGGTACAACAATCTGTTGACCCTTGAGAAGGAGGCCATCTTAATATGTGACCACTAAATTATAGTAGTGATATGGTCTGAGACAAGGAATGTGTGGCGATGTTCTGGCCAACCTGCAGAGATCTGTTGTCGTAGTTTTTGTTGTGTCATCTTTTGCTGTTTCTGGAAAATCTTTTCAGTGATTGGGAGTGATGACATCACAAAGTAGACAAAGTAGTTTATTTCATTGTTAGAGATTTCAAAGGTATTGTCTTGTAATGTGACTTGGCTTCATGTGACCGCAATCTTCATTCGCTTGCCTTTTGCATATTCCAAATCAAAGTCATATTTTGAAGTCTTAAAAGGAAACGCTGTATTCTAGGTGTCAGAGATTATGCTAACATGAGCTATTGGATGCCACTTGTGCAGCTGTTCCAGCAGGGCTCCTAATCTGTTGGAGACTGTTGGATTACTGCCTCCTGGTTAATAAAATGTCACTGAGTTGAGATTTTGGAATTATCGCCCCCTGACGATTTACAGGCGGTGCGAAATTTTCTCGGTGACTTTTCATTGCAAAGAGACGAAATACAAAAACCTAAGTGTGGGAAAACTTTAAAGTTATTATTTTCATCGTACACAGAAGTGTATTCAGAGTGAAATTCCAGACCATAGGCTAGATGGGTGTATTGGTAACATCGACCCTTCCAGGTAAATGCAGTTTTGTAGCGGGTCCCGATTTGCCAGTATCCTTTGCGGATCCATTTTTTCTGAAAGGAGATCAGCGCGAGTGGGGATGCTGGAAACTGAAGTTGTGATGGTGTTAATGTCTTGAATCGGGCACTGGGCCATCACATCTCGTCCGGTCCCGTCCGAAAATCCGTTTCATGAAGTTGGTTTATGTCTATTACTTCAGGTTATTCTGTGACCGTTGTAGGTATGTTTGCGGATATGGTGCAGTGTGTGCTTGGTTACGAAGTGGGTTGAAGTAAGAGAAATTTTAACCCTTGAACTATGCGAGACCCCTCATGTAGTTTCTGCAGACAGCACGATTGACTCTGTTATTGGAGTTGTTTGTGGGCGTGCGTTTCTGGTCCCGTCTCGGGGTTATGTCGTTGTGCTCCAGTCTCGTAGATGTGTTCTAGCCATGCATTACTGAGTGATTTATCCGTCGGTGTATCTGTTGTATTTGACGCTTCAGGCCGGCGAAATCTTGATTCGCTTGTGTATGTGATCGCTGTTTTTGCGCCGTCTGCAGTCATGTTGGGGATAGCGCCTGTTTTTATGCCGCGGTCAATGTAGCATTGGGCGTCGCTTTCTATGCCACCAGCCGAGTAGTGGCTTGTTCATCGCTTTTACCAGGTGGGGGTATATGTTAGTAGCTCGGGTCTTCATTTTTTCACTCATGAGCATCGCACCCATGAGAAAAAAAACCTTGTCGGCTGTCATTTCGGAGTTGCTGTTGTCCGTCTGAAACTTCGCTTTTATATGGACTGCTGCTTCACTGATCGTGGCCTCGAGCTGTCCTGCAAAATCGATGGTCTTTTCGCTGCCACGCCATTGCAGGTGCCGCGCTCAGCAGAAATGTTGAAAGTTCGTCATTTGACTTCTGTGAGTTTTTAGCAGGTAGGCCCTCAACTACTCGCGTAGGGACGTGGTCTGTTGCAAATCCGCCATCTGTCGAGAAGTTGCCTAGCAATTTTAATAAATTCTGTTTCCATCTTCGGATAATGTACGAGGTTGGGTTTTACGTGGATTGCATATATTTTGTTCAAATCGATTATGAACCGATTGACGTCGTTACACGAATGGAAACGTTTTACGTCGTGCATAGCGTCACATAAGGACTGTAGTCGCATGAGCAGTTCGTAGTCTGGGACGTGTGCACGATCCCAACAGAGACAGAATTGAGAGCAGTCAGCATTTCAGTTCTGTCTGAACTTCGTCAGTGATTCTGGCTTGTTGTTCACTTTTGAATTTCGGGTTTGTTTTCAGTTTGAGAATGGTTGTTTGTTGCTGTTTGAATAGTTCTCGCATTTCCTGGCGGGTAACTTCCGCTGTAGCCCATCTTGTTCCGGCCGTACGCTTCTGACACAAATTGTTATATTAAGCGTATGGTGACAGAACAAAGAAAAAACAACAAAGGTTTAAAGAAATAAACATTTGTATTAACGTAAAATAGAACAAATGATAAATTAGTGTAGATATCTCTCGTTGAAAAAAAAAAAGAAATAAGTGGAGTTATAAAAGGTTGTGACTTAGTGGGGCGACGGCCTTTGGCGAGCTGTCTCTTGGAGTTTGCTTTCTGACGAAGTCTGTGAACCCGGGCCAAGATGCCGTCCAACTGTCGAAAATGTCCCTTTGATGAGCTTTTATGTCCTTTCTTAGCCTCAAATCGGCTCCGATTTTTATTTTGTTTCTTTAGCTAAGAGTGAGTGCTATTGGGTGGAAATTTTGGATTGTATTGCTTATTTTTTCTCTGAGTGTGTAAATAAAAACGGAAGGTATGTGTGTAGCCTTGAGCAGTTGACGGAATTTTAGTTCAGTTTTGGGTGTTCGGAGCGCTCACATCCGGCCAGTGCTGGAAATTAATGCAGCATAAATCAGATCTGGTTTTTGGAAGAATGCAACAGCAGCAATATACTGAGGTGAGATTTAGTATTAGAATCTCAGACACTAAATTCATAGAAAAGGATAAGGCGTCCGTTTCTGCGCATATTTTTTGTATTAGATATGATTTAAATTTGTTTAAAATGACATAGTAAGCATTGAATATCGAAGGTAACTCTATCAATATATGTGCACAAAGTAGTTGAGCAATAAACTTCATTTACAAAGAAAATCATTCTTTTGTCGGTGCTATAATTTCCAATGTAGAATCGTGAATTTTTAATATTCTTTATTTGAGTGAAAGATTTGAATTTTGGAAAGCAGGGGTATGCACTCATTTGGTGAATTGATTTAATGCAACTTATCGAAACAAATGTTTGATCTACGGCAAAAAAAGTTTTTTGTTATTTAATATGTTCTTTCATTTATTTATTTCAAGGATAAAAAAGGACTTACGGCCATATCAGGTTGAAACACCGGTTCTCGTACGATCACCAATGTTAAGCAACGTCGAACCTGGTCAATATTTATATGGGTGACTGCTTGCAAATATCAGATACTGTAAGCTTGAATGTGCGTTTGTGTAATGGATAAATTCTCGGAATTGAAGATCGGAGAGCCGACTACCAATTCCAATCTGCTTGTTTATATTCATTTATACGCAAATACCTTTGGGAAAGGTATGAATTTACATTTTTCTTTCTCCAGCTATGGGTTAATTAGTAGAACTTGTATCAGTGAATGATTATTAGCTCCAAATATTTTTTACCATCTAATTCCTGGCTTTAAATGAACTGTAAAATATTGATAGAAACAAATCTTCTAATCAAGGATAAAGAGAAATAAAAAGAAAACAAATTTATTTGTTTATCTTGCAGATAAAAATACAAGATTCGAAAAAAATACATGATTCGAAAATAAAAATAATTTTCACTTGTATATTTTTCAAATGGAAAGAAAAGATCAATCAAATGCAAAGAAAAAATAATTCCCTCCATTTATTTTTGCAGATGAAGACACAAAAGCCAGATATATGTAAAGAACAGTAACCCTTTAGTAATTTAGTATCTTGAAAGGGGAAAAGTGAAGAATAAATGGATGGAAGAAAATAAGTCAGAGGTATGAAAAGACATTAACTAATTTTATTTATTTACTTTATAGTAAATTTATTTATTTTATAGTAAATTATTTAGGATAGTGCATGATGAATAAAAGAAACAAAATATTTTGCATTAAAAATAAGAGAAATACAGTTCAAAAGCGAAAAACAGTTTTATTAATTATTACAAATGAAAAGAACTGACAGAAAATACAAAATGCTTTTATTCATTTATTTATTGTAGCGATAATAATAAAAAATGATATGTTGTTCATTCGTTTTTTAGCAGAGGATAAGAAAACAATATAAATTGAAGGTAAAAATGAATTTATTATTTTATGAAATGAAATTAGCAAGTGAGCTGAAAGGACAAAAAGAATTTGACTTATTTATTTTTCAGGTGACAGAAGAAAGGAGAATATGAAAAAATAATTTAAACATTGCTTTTATAGATGAAAAAGCAAGAGATGAAATGACAAAAATATTCTTTTAATTATTTAAATCAAGAATTAATGAAATGTAATCATTTTATATATATATATATATATATATATATATATATATATATATATATATATATTGCAGATGAAAAATAAGCAGAAGCATGACGGAAATGCAAAAATAAATTTAAAAATTATCTAGATAAAAAAGCGGAACAATACAGATGATGAAGCAATATTGTTTTTGAGTATGCGATGAAATGATAGATGTCTAACCTGGAAATTAACTCTATACGGTCAAGGTTTGATCAAGAAATAACTAGGACATCACTTAAAAACACATAGAAAGAAGTTGTAGCTTGTTCCAGGTGCAGAGAGTTACATCTGGTCTAAGAAAGACAGAGAAAAGACAAGAGTAGGCTAAGATTCCTATAGCGGAATAGGTAGCGAACTTCTGTATGTGTATTCATTTTGTGTAAACGTCTTCCGTTTAATTTAATGCGGTAGGCGGCAACGACGCAGGTAATACAGGTTATGGTGGCATGATTATTTTTTGTTAATTGTGAAAAGAATGCTTCTAAAAGTTGCCATCGAGAATTTTGAATTGGAGATCAGTTTTCAAGCCTCCTGAAAATGGATGGGGTTTATATTCTTCGATGCTAAAATTGTCATGCCTGCTTTGAAATTCCACAATAGTAGCAGAGTACTTTTGAATTACGCAAAAAATAATCGGTGTGTTTGTAAATTTCCGCAACAATTGGGTGTTTAAAGCGATTTGGTTTGCTATTTAAATGTAGAGTAGCAAATTACATTATTTATATCAAATCCATAGACGTTTACTCATGGAAAATTGTAAATGGTTTTGACTGTACTGTATGAATAAAATATACAAAAAAAACGTAAATTCATGATGTGAAAATGTTGAAATGCATAGGCGTCAAAAAAATCTAACAGTTATATAAAATGTTTTTTGATAATTTGCGGCAACAGAAAAAGTGCGGATACAACATTGTTTTTAGTGATTTCTGATTAACATTGAAAGTGAAATTATGAAAAATGTGGATAAAACAGGAAAGACACAGAAAAACAAGAAAACATAGAAAAACTGAAAATGAACCTCTTTTCCTTTTCAAGATATAAACTCTACAGAGATTATTTAATTTGCTATGCGACATTTTGTACACCAAATGTTTACTTGTATATTTGTGGGTTGAAATCTTGTGATGTATTTTACACGATTTTTAAAATTGGAAATGTACAAAGCTATTGAAATCTACCATAGATAATGACACACTTAGGAATATTTTTCGGTCTAGTGAACTTACACGAAAACATCTAGGAAATATGGGAAGCGCTGATATCGACTATTCCAAGAAAACATATCTGGTTTTAAAAGCTGCTTGTTCAAAATTTTGTTCATAAGGCAAGCGGAGATTTCAGGCAAACGCGATAGTCAGATGAAAAAAAACTTGATTCCATTTACTATGTCATACAAAGCACATTGAAAACACCGGTTCTCATTCGATCGTCGGAGATAAGTAGTGTCAATCCCGTTCAGTACTTAGATGGATGACTACTTGGGAACACCAGGTACTGTAATCAACTTCCGACAATCCAATAAATGTTTTGTCTTTAAATAACTTACAAGGGTTGATAAGCAGTAAAAAAATCAATATCGTGTCAGAGTAACAGGTACTGCTCATGGACAGCAAGTTTAGTAATTGTTACTTTTATTATTGTATTTTATCGTCATTTTTGCTGTGTCGTTCTGTTCTTCTCTGTAGGGTGGGGAGCTAAAGTTGCAGATTTCAACTTGAAGAGTTTATTGATACTTGCAACATTCTTTGTATATTTTGTTATCTTACTGCTGCGAGTAAAGGTCCGCAATTATCGTTTGGCCCGTTGGTAGCAGCCCATAGTGCATCACTTATCAACTAGTCCACCAGATACAGATCATGATCTTGCGTGGATGTAGTACTGGTCTTTTGGTGTAAAGCACATGATCTCGTGGTGACAACCAATGTCTGGCACGCTTAAGAGAGTGTCATACAGGACCCATTTTTTGTCACTGGTAAGCACTCAATCAAATATGGATACGTTCGGTGCCGAGAAAGCAACGAGAAAGAAACAGGCTGTCACTCGTTGTTGCATGTTGGCTTATGACAGTGTGTCGGGTGCCCACTTGCTTAACTTGTTCGCCTTCCCTATGCGATGCAGGTGAAGTCATCAGAAAACTGGAAACGTTTGGCAAGCTCATCACAGGTTTGGTTGTGGTCCTCCTCTATGGTTTCATCATTCAGGACTTGTGGCCGGCCATTGCTGGGTTCATCACAAAGTGACAGATCTCCCAATCTGAAATTTAGGACCTGTGGCCGGCTATTGCTGGGTTCATCACAAAGTGACAGATCCTCCGGTCTGAAATTCTGGAACTAATGCCTGGCAGTAAGGTTCACTCACAGGATTATCCCCAAAGACTTGATGTATTCGGCAACTTGATGCAGCTGCGGACAAATCTACCTTAAAGTCATAAAGTAGACAACCACAAACGAGCTGCTTCAACGCCGCCATGCTTTCTCGCCGTTGCTCAAGCTATGACTGATGTGTCTGCGCAACGCACGTGCATTGGTTAAGAGCAATTATATCAAACCACCCTACCCAACCCCTTTCCCGGCTTCTGGCACACTCATTTGCGTATCACTTATCACTTTTTCCCAGGCGTCGTAAAAACGGCAAGGACTTTTTTTATTACCTTATAATATCCAAAGTTTTTAGACGTTTGAAAAGTTATAAATGTGAAAAAGTACGAGGAAGGTGTGTGATCTAATGACCAGTATCTCGAGGTGAAGAAATGCTGGAAATAAGCTGGTAATCATTCAAAAACATCTTAGAAATTTTTAGAGAGGACCTTAGGCCCTAAACGTTAAACATGGGGGGTCTCTGAACATGGGGGTCTCTGAACTGGGTGATAGAAGAGATTCGAGCACCGAGGTGGTACAGTCAACAACGAAATTATTCGTATATCAATCAATTTTGAATATTTTTATCCATTTCTCAGAACCTAATGGCCGTATGATGACAGGTTTTTATATATTACTAAAAAAAGGAATATAAAACTCAATTTTCAGAACAATAGGTTAAATACAACAAATTTGACAGGCGAATTATGCAAAATAGTAAAAGAAAATTATTCGTACAGTATGAAAAATAGAAAGAAATTGAACAATTTTCCCAATAGTCAATAGCATGGCCTCTTATCTTTATAACTTGCTTACAGTCGTTTTCCAAAATTTTGGTGAGATTTGAACAAGACTTTTCTGGGATTTTCTTTCATTTTTCAATAGTTACACGTTCTAATTCCTGAAAGTTTTTTGGTGACCGACGATTTATTCGAAATTTCAATTCTTGCCACAGATTTTCAATAGGATCCAAGTTAGAACTCATTGAAGGCCACGGCAGAACTGCAATATTATTTTTCTGGAGCCACGCAGTCACTCATTTATATATATGTTTGGGATCATTATCTTGCTGGATCATTATCATCGCCGTCATAGATGAAGATTTTGCGTTGATAGTTGTAGATTTTCATCCAGAATTTTGATATAGTCTGCAGATTTCATTATTCCTCTTATTGCAATTAATTGTCCAGTCCACCTTGAGCTAAAACAAGCCCAAAATTTCATCGGGTCGCCTCCATGTCTTAATGTTTCCACTGTATTCTTTGGGAGGAAAGCTTCATGTTTCTATCCCAAATCTTCTGTACATCATTATGTCGAAAAAGCCCAATTTGTTTCATCACTCCATAGTACTTGTTCCCCAAAACAATTTTCTTTGTCCAAGAATGTTTTGGCAAAATTAAACCGAGATACAATGTGACTCGCTTTGTGAAGAGGGGTTCGTCGTGGTCGGTTTACATAAAACCCATTTATAGTTAAACAACGTTGTATTGTGCGAGTACTGACGCTGATACCCACCGTATCCAAAACTTTTGGGGATGTCTTTCAAAACAACACTTGGGTTTATATTAACCTTACAGCACAGTTTTCGTGCAGTTCTCGGTGACAATTTGGGTTTTCTTCCACATCCAGGCAAAATTCTCTGTCGTGCCAAACTGTTTAAACTTATTTATAACGGACTGTACCGTAGATCTAGGGATAGCTAACCGGTTTGAAATAGTGCTGTAACTGTTTCCCAACTTGTGAAAGTTAATAATTTCATTGTCTCAAGTCAACGCTAAGCTCCTTTGTCTTCCCTATCGTGATCGTGTTGCTAACATAAGAATAACAATGGTAATGCTAATGGTAATCACGTGATGTTCTTTGCTGGAATTATCACAAATATTCTACTGAATAAATAATCTAGAAGGCTTCACCGATGAAATGATTAGGTATATTACTTACACGAATCAATCAATTTAAAACGTTATTTTCTACTGTACGAAAAATTTTCTCTTTTCTTATTTTGTATAATTTGCCTGTCAAATTTGTTTTATTTAAACTATGGTTCTGAAAACTTAGTTTAATATTCCGTTTATTTTGTGCTTATTAACATATAAAAACCTGGTATCATATGGGCATTAGATTCTGTGAAATGGATAAAAATATTCAAAATTAATGAGTGTACGAATAATTTCGTCGTTGACTGTATATGACACAGTTCTTTTAGTTGGAATTGGTAATTGACAGAAATAGCTTCCTTTCAGCCATGACCTGAAATACGTGACTATTATCACATATCTTCCTGTATGGAAAATGAAATTTAATAAATACCTGTTAAAGAAGATTTGTATCACTGTCTCACCACCCGCAACCATTTTGAATTTTGCTAAGAGCAGCAGAAATAAAAATGACAATAAATTTCCTATACTTATTTATTTTGAAGATGAAAAGTGCTAAAAGTTAAAAAGATGAAATTAATTTTATATTTTTATTGTGAAGATGAGATGAAAAGAGCAAAACAAAAATAATTTATTTTAAAAATAAAAAAATAAATAGTAATATTAACAAAATAATTTTGCACATTCATCTATTTTGCAGATGGAAGACATGAGAAAGAATAATAAAAAAAATCAATTATATTCAATTTTACATACAGATGAAATACCAAGATCTAAAGTGATAAAAAGAAAAATCATTTTATTAATTTATTTATTTTGTAGCTAAAAACAAGCAAGATGGATGAAAATATATAAATAACTTTATTAATTTATTTATATTGTAGCTGAAAACAGTCGGTGTTAGAAAAATAATTTTATTTTGTTTCAATTATTTATTGGTTTTATAGTTGAAAGACAAGAACAGAGACGAAAAGACAAAATATCTTTACCAGATGAAATGAGAAATGCAATAATGATGAAGAGACAAAAATGATTTTATTTATTTTGCCTGTGTAATTCAAGAACAAATGAAATTAAAAAAAGCAATTTTACAAATTTATTTTGCAGATAAATACAGGTACAGGAAAAATGAAAAACAAAATAATTTTACTTTCTCGTCAAGATCAATACCAAAGTACACGTAAAAGATTGGTTTAATTTAATATATATATATATATATATTGCTTATGTAGCTCATTTAGACAGTAGAAAAAATAGAAATGTTGACGCCCTGATGCTTTGTTTCAACGGGTTTTGACTGAGGAATTTAGTTTTTTTTGTTTATTTGAATTATATATATATATATATATATATATATATATATATATAATTTTCACCCCAAGCAAAGCGGGAGTGTCACTAGCACGCAAAGGGGTTACAGAAAGTGGGAGCAAGAGTAAAGAGGCGCTTTAAAGAGGGAAGGACGAAATGAAGAATGGGGAATAGATCAAGGCCTCTGGAGATGCCGATTGACATTACATTTAAATAGTTGGAGATTATAGCTAAGCTAGTAAGAAAAAGGGAGTTCCGCAGGCAGGAAGTGCGAGATATGAAGCTATTGGAGTAGAAGAGACGGCTACATTTAATCGTTTCGACAGTGAAAGAGTGGGAGTGAGATGCCAACCTAGTAACACGTTTAAATTCATGCAGTTTGAGTACAGTCCCCGTCAAAGTATTTGTAGAAAAGACAGATGGAGGTGACGGCACGTCTGTGAGAGAGCAACTGTAAACGAGATGCCAGATCAGGGCCAATCGCATTGCATATTCATTCCTGGATTTTGTTGCGGACCTTGCGGTCATATATGGCAGCAGTATTCCATACAAGGGCGAATGGTTGACTTGGAGATTTGAAGGATGGACTCAGGCGAGGAAAACTTTCTGGCGTGACACAGAGAACCAACTTTCCTTGCGGAAGATGAAACTATGGATTCAATGTATTTGTTCCATCTCAAGTCAGCGGATAGTGTGAGACCAAGCAGTCGCAAAGAGGTACTCTCGTGGAGTTGATCATCAGACATTCTAATAGGAAGCAGGGAGGGTTCACGGTGGTGGGTAAAAGAGAGCAGTTTTGTTTTTGAGGTACTAAAGTTAACCAGCCATTTCTTGCCCCAGTCAACAACAGACTGGTGGTCTTTTTCGAGATCAACCGGTTAGTTTTTACATATAAGAGATATCATCAACCCGATTACTGTGAGTGCAGATTGAAACCTTCGAATAGAAATTCCTGG